TATCATGTTTATGAATAATATATCTGTGTGTGGGACCCTATACAGTAATGAAATGCGAGTGCAATTAAGTGGAATTAAGTGAATTGCATTGGTGAAAATATTTTCTTGAGGACCCTGAATATTTCCAAGATTCACAGTTTAACCAGTAAAGAAACAGCAGTTCTGTCGCAGAACACAGAAGAGCAGTAAGCTGGTTAAGTTACTGCAGCCAAGAAGCATTAAGACCTTGTAACTTTTAGCATAGCAAGTGGACTGATTATTTGTCTTTGCAGTTAGCAATTTTTTAAATGTTTAAACCAAAAGTGACAGTTTAAATGAAAAACCTTTGCTTTTTGATTGTCACACAGGCAAAAAGCAGCTTGAATTAAGGCTCTATCCAGTATTATTTCTGTTCTCGTTTACTCTTCGGAGCTGCTCAGATATTTTTGTTATAACACCATTATCCTCTAAAAATTCTCTACTCATTTTACTTTGGAAATTAACCTGACAATGTGTTTAGTTTTGAAATGGAAACGGAAATTGTCATTTTGGTTCTGATCTCTTGAGGTATGTTTAGCATATTACTTGAGGGGCTACTGCCATTAATTCTGAAGAGGCTTTTCTGTTACCTTTATGTATTCAAAACAGCGTGTGTCAATTCTTAGATTCTAGTGTGGCTAATTTTTAATAATTTTATTTTTGCTGTGCTAATGCGTGCAGAGTAAATTTCCCTATCATGTCTTGAGTTGCTGTTCCATTTCTGTGGTTTCCTGTGCTCTGCAGCACCAGGAGGCAGGACTAGTCCCAGCAGTCATAAAAAAAAAAAAAAAAAAAGAGACTTGGTTCCCCCTTCTGGGAAAATTGCCAGATATATACTACTTCAAAAGCCAAAATATATTCTAAGAACTTTGATCAACAGTCTTAAAACATTAGGCTAATTCTTCCTTCATTTTCAGCGCGTGAGGAAATCAAAAAGGTCAAATGTGACTTGAAATGCATGTCAATTAAGGTAGATGTGGAATGCCTGGATATTTGAAGAAAGTCATAAAGTCCAGCCTTTCACTGTTGACTATGAAATGTTTATAACTGTGCTTGCATTAAGAATACAGAGGCATTGTAATATGTGTACTTTTAACAGTATTTCAGAAATCCTTATGCGTAGCTGTATTCTTACCTCAGATTGCCCAATTTGGCACAAGATTTTTTCAACTCATGATGAAGGCATTGTGCCATCCACATATGGGTGATAGTTTCTGTAGCAGAAAAGCTTTCTTGTTTAACTTGTATTTAATAAACTTCTAAGATATACTTGGGGGTTGGTAGGAAATGGAGTTAGAAAGTTGTGGCTCTCCCAAATAGCTTTAACCTGATAGTGTTCTGATTGTATTAAAGTATCCAATCGATCCTGTTGGTTTTCCATTGGGTGTTATGGCCTAGTGCATGTAAGGAGCAGCTATGTTCTGTGATCTGTAAAATCACTTTTCTTATGAAAAGAAGATGTATGTAGGAGAATATTATCTGAATGAAAAGTGAGATTTGGTTGACTTGTAAGGGAAGAAAATTCCTAAGCGTATGATGAAATATTATCCGGCTTTCAAAAGGCTTGTGGCAGAGCTGAGTGTTTGGCACAGCTGTTTTAGCTTGCATAGTTAACATCTAAAGCTGTTCCAGTTTGGACAGTAGACCGTCTTAGTTGTTACTGTGCTTCTGTGACTTCCCTAAGATTCCCTAGAAATGTTTTTGTAAATTACACTCACAATGCTTAATTTCACTATAAATTTGTTTTCATAGATGTCTTTTGGTGACAAGCAATTGCTTTTTGGAGGAGTTTCTATGGGCCTAATCCATGATAGGGTTTCTTGCTTTTAATTTTAGTCACATTTTCTTTATTTCAAATTAAAATATTGTCTTTTCTGATGCCTCATTAGTGGAAGCTTAGCATGGACAAAACAGGAGGAATGCTTCTTTCCGTCATGAGGGAGAGGCTCTGTTCTTTCTGGTTTAGCCCCATGCATGGATGGATACCTTTTTCCACATCTCCACATTGAGACAGTGTCTGTAAATGCTGTATTTTGTGTTAAATAACGTAACTGAGATCTGGACTTGTTTCCACTTTCCCGTTTTCTGACCTTTCTCATCTCTACATGCCTCTTGTCTGATCTTGCAAGTTGTGTCCATTCCACCCCTCCCTGTTTCATCTTCTTGGCTGGGTTGGGTGTGTAGCTGTGTTCTTTTTGCCTATTTGGTCAGTGATTCCCCATGTTTGTCTCTACCTTCGAAGACTGATGTAACTTAGAATTCTTCCGTTACCTTCTCTTTAAGAGTTACTGGATCTCAGGCCATTACTTGTTCCAAAAGGATTGCCGGTTTTGAGTTCTGCTGAAGCTTTCCAACAAGAACATTTATTTTCTGATATTAAAATTTTATTTGGCTGAAATATGTACAATATTGATAAATGTTATATTAATGTGTACGAAATGTATGTTTGTGGAAGTAAATGTGAGCAGAAGCAAGAGGCAGTAAGATGCTGTTGGAGAAAGGACAAGCAGATGGTGACAGAAACCACTCTTTCTGAATTTGTAGCTGCTGCTGAGTCCAGACGACATGAAGTAGTAGCATTCTTGATTTGGTTTCCAGTAGGATATGTACCAGTGTGAAAACTATTTAATTTGCAGTTCCTTTCTAGTAAGCAGAATAAATGAAATAGTACATTGGGTCTTTTCTTCTCATTTTACCCTTTGTGCTTCATCCTTCCGTGTGTGGATTGCTCTTTTGTAATTAGGGAAGTGGTATTTATAATAATTAGTTTCTTTCTTTTTCCATGGAACTATGTTTTCCAAGATGCTGTTGAAATATTACCTAAATGAAACGAGAATTAAAAACCAAATCTTAATTACTTCACTTTTACTAATTCTAAACCACACTTTGAGTCAAAGAAACATCAGGATAGATCAACCACACATAATCTATGAACACAGCAATATGAGTTTAAAGAGCTTCTTGATAAGTTTCTTAATGTGTTAAGTCTGGGTTCCAAACTATACTGTATAAAGATCATGCCTGAGGAAGAAGCAATACATCTTTACTACTGTGACCCTAGGTAACCCTTGCAACAGAAGCATCAATAACACCCTGGGGTATGGGGTGGCATCCTGAGCCATGAGTGCTCCAGTGGTCACTTCCAAGGGGGAGGTAAGCAACTTCTGGATACTGGAGTAAACACTCACAAAGCAGCATTAAAGAGCAGAAGAGTTATAAATGTCTAAATTCAGGGGCTGTAAGGCTGTATGAGTTCACTTTATGAGCTATTTTTTAAGTAAACCTTAGCTACTCAAATTTAAAGTATGTGAAACCACATATTTGAAGAACATTCCAAATTCATTACATTTCTGCCTTACATTGTTCCACCTTTCTTTCCCTTGCATTCTGGAATTGTAGACCCCTGTTAGAGATTCAGACAATGAATCCTTTTATCTAGTACTTGCATTCATTATTCATTGTGCATTGTCAATGGATTGCTACTTCAAGCCTGAATTAGAGATAATTAATCTTAGGAAAGCACTTGTAATTTCACACTTTATGAAGCACAGTTGTCTCAGCACAGTAGTGCTGTGGTGGCAAAATACTCTTAACGTTTGTTGTTGCTATTCAGAATGGTATCTTTTAATATTTATGTGCAATCAAGTCTTTATTTTACTTACATGTCTGCAGGTTTATATTACAGCAGTCATGCTTGTGTTTTGCATTGGAAATACTTTTTAGTATTTTTATACAGGATTTCAAACAGAAATAAGTTAAATTCACATTTAAATGGTGAGATTAGAAAGGTCTTTATGCTTTTCAATACCGAAAAGGAAAACTTGGAAAAATGATGCTCTTTAGAGCAAGAGGAATCAAGTAGATTCCCAACTAGGCATGTTACTTCAGATGATGAGTTAAGTTTGTAGCTGGTAAGTGATCAGATACAGCCTACACTTAGAAGCTAAGGCCTGCTGTTTTCCATCTGTAGGTTAAATGTTTCTAAACCTTCTTGTTCTGCACGTAGCTTTCTAGGAGCTCTAGTTGTGTGTGTGAGCATGTGTGTACAAACTTTACTCAGGAAGTTAATTTCATGTATTGCAACCTCTTTGTTTAGTTTACATGGCTGCACAGGGGACAGTTCCTGCTCTTCATCTTACAGTAGCTTAGAAACTATTCTAAAAATACCAGTATCTCTTGACAGTACTTACATCTGACATTTCTAGAATGCTGAAAGAATAAAATTATAACCTATGCTCACATGAAGGTGGTGGAGAAGTGATTCAGTGCAGAGTTGCTAAAGAGATCCCTTAGTTGCATAGCACACAGAGGGGAATGTTTTGGAATAAGTATCTATAGATGCTTGTCCTTCTCTGCCTTCATATGATACTGATCGCAGTAGGAGATGAAAAACTGAGAGCTAAAAATGGACTTTTTCTTTCACTTAGTGTTCTTGCTAAGTGGAAAAAACACAGTTAAAGGCTTTAAAAATGCTCTCATGTGTTTTCAGCTGTATTTTCCTAATTGTTTTCAGGAATTTCACAGTAATTGCTAACTGAAGTATAGTGCTTACCATGAGATTTTTTTGATTATGCTCTTCATGAAAAATGGAACATCATAAACATATTTACTATATTTGTTGCTTAATATCAGATTTTCCACAGCAAACATAACTCATTTGTAGAAATGTTTATTATAGTACTTGAAAATAGAAATTTGGGGGGGAGAGGAATAATTAAAGTTTTAAATAAATGTATTACACTGTGCAGTTTGTGCTGACTAGATAAACTTACCTGCAACCTGAATTACCCAGTGATCCTGACCTCGTGTGGAGTCAAGAATTAGTATTTATTGTTAGTCTAATTAATGCCCTAGCAGTCTAATCAAAATGCAGCAGTATTTATTGTTAGCCAGTTACAGAGAGGCTAACGCTTATAGTCTAATTACTGCTAGTTTCCAATAATCAATGTATGGAGCACCATCTCCTGAGCTCTGCTGGCAGGAGGATGCTGGGGGTGGCTCTGCATGGGATTTTGCTGGGTGCTTTCTGTCGGTTGCTGATGCTTTGTGCTGATCCCAAAGCTTACAGATCACTCTGGTTTTGTTAGACCTTTATTGTATATGCTATAATTTCCTTAGGACTGCGCAGCTGCACAAAGATGAGTTGAATCTGAAAGCAAGTTAGACAGAAATCATTTGACTGTAATGACTTTGTTACAGTTAAGTCACTCAGCTGCAAGGCATAGGCTGCTACAGTTAAAGCCAAGCACAGAAAATAAGTACAGGCCAAGAGAAGTCCAGACAAAAGGTTGCAAGTCCTTAGGCAGTTGGTTTCTGTGGCAGTCTGAGGTCTGTGGTCTGCTGACAACAATGGCAGTACTGTCTCTAGAGGGCTACAAATCGTGGGAGATGGATAAGCCTGTGTGCAACACTCAGACTAGGGAGGGGGGAGCTTAAGCTGACCTTTCAGCTTGGCTTCCTGAGTAATAGTAGCTGAAGATGGAATTAGTCTGCTTGCTGTGCTATGAGCTGTTACAGTTGCAATGGAAGTACTGACATCCTTCATATTGTTACATTAACGGCCAGCCGACAGTAAACCGCAAGCCAAGGACAGTTTCTCCTGCACCATCATCTGGTCTGCGGCGGCTCCTGCAAAACGAGCTGAGCACTGCCAAGTGCCATGTGTAATTTTGACATGCACTTGAAAGGATGTTCTTAAAATCTTTCACCGTGGCTTCTATTTTTCAGTGTGAGGCGTTCTTCAGTCTTGAGTCATCTTCTGGTGATGAAGCACGGAGGTTTTCTTGTTGCATTTACAGTAGCTTCCTTGTGTGAGCTGACACGACTTATTACACTAGGGGCCTCTGATCTGAACTGCAGCAGTTTGGCAAAGTGGAAAGATAATCTGTTCAGAAAGAAAATCTCTGCAAGCTGTTTGAATCTGGTATGGCAGGGCAGCAGTTCTTCAGAGGCCATGACTGAATGATTTTTGGTGGGTTTTGTGGTGTGGTTGTTTTTATGCGGTTTTGTTTGGGGTTTTTTTGGGTTGTTGTATGTGGTTGCCCTCTTCCCTCCAGCCTTATTGTTGGAAGAGGTTAATGTCTGTGCAACTGAAATTCTGGATTTCTGGGAAATGCTCTTCTGAGGTTAGATCTGGGCCAAAGTCTAATGGAGAACCACAAGAACAATATATAGTGAATGTTCAGATTGTAAGGATTAAATAAGACTCACTTTTTTTCTGTCTTGCATTATTTTAGTAAAGTAGCATTTCAAATATCACAGCTTCAGCTAAAGTGAATAAATTTGCCACTGTGCTGTATGAAGTGTAGCAAAAGTATAGGCAGTCATGTTTATAAAGCTTAAGTCTGTCCTTTTATGAGAGCAGCTGCTTGGTCTAGTCTTAATCCAGGCTGTTTAATAACAAATTAGAAGTACTGGGAATACTAGTTAGAATACACAAACAAAATTTTGTCTTTCTTTCGTTGTCTTAATCCTAAATCTTTCAGTCCTGAGTTTACGGCTTTATTTTTGTTGTGTTATTCCTTTATGAGAGGCACCAGTTTATGTCCTTATTGGAAGCATAGCTTATACAAAAACTTGCTTGCAAAATTCGCTTTTTTGGAAACACTCCTGGTATAGGTGTGTTGATTTGCCTCTTAACATATTGGAACAGTCACTAAGAGGTGCAAACTGCCCTGTATTTTCACACAGTGAAACTATCTTGCTTTTGAATCTTGAGATTGTGCTCTGGGTAATCTTTCCAAGTGTTAAAAGTAGATGATTTGTGGGCAATTTTCAGTCTAAAATTGTGTCTGCAGCTTTGATTAAGTTCTCCAGTGTGTTTGGAGTTCTCCAAGTCTGTAACATTTATAAGGAATACTCTTATCTCAGTATTATCTAGAATTTAGCAGAAGTGTGAAGCTTCAAGACGTGCCCTTACACTTGTCACTTTTTTCCCTGCTCCCCTATTCACACTTTCATTGACTGTTTTTGGGCAAGAGGGTGTGCAATTTTCCATTTGCCTGGTCTCTTAGGTTACGGGGAAAGGCGATTTTGATCTCACGCCTTCAAAGTACTTCCTCAGTTAATGTACTCCTTCTTATATTTAGAACTTTGCTAAGTGTTTCCTAAAAAAATCATTACAGCCCTTCATGACTGTACAAAAAAATAGAACTTTAATCTATTGTCAAAATGATTAAAGAGCAATGTTTGGGTTTTTTTGTTCAGCGTTGAGATCTATAACAGATGCCGGCTTTTTCATCTCCATCAACCTTAATCCATAAACTTTTGTCTTTTCCATCAGTGTTATTTACTGTTTAATACTTGTGATTTCATATATATATTACTAACTTTTTTCTCCTACTATGTCTGAAATTGCTTTATTTCTTAGTGTTAGCATTCCTTTCTTGTGAGTTACCCTGCTGTGCTTCTCAAGTTTAAGTGTTTACGTCACCTACAGTCTTCTCCTTGAATAATTGCTTCTAGCTTAGTCTGTTTACTTCCCATCATCCTGGTGCTAATATACAAGTAGTTGTGGGATGGTTTATTCCCGTTCTTTCTTGGTAAGTAGTTTTGTTCTCTTTCTTTCCTACTCCTCCTTTTCTTCTTACTATTTACAAGTCTGGCATTTCAATTCTTGACTTAGAGTTGTCTTTCTGTCACAAAGTGAATCTTGTATCCAGTCCAGGCTGTTTTTTCTTATGCCAGCTTTGAAGACAGAAGATTGGATGTCTGAAGGGAAGTAGTGGCTAGCCAAGAGCACGTGTGTTCTGCGAGGATTGTGCTCCATGCATGAAATCTCTAGTCCTTGCCTTTGAGGATAATGACAAACTTACTGTCCATAGTGGCATAGAAAATGAAGATGAGGTTTAGCACATCATATGTGGACTTCCTGATTTGTTTGATCTTCTTTGGGGAGAGTGGAAGGTGCTGGTTACATGGGCAGTTACACAGTCAGTTTAAGAGATAACTTCTTTGCAGGCATTTGGTACTCAATGCTGTGAATCCTTATTTTGTTTCTGGGGTTGGTGGGGAGGCAAGAAATGGAAGCTGTCAGCTGTTGAGCTTTTGATAATTTTGAGCTGATGGAACCAGGTACCAATGATCTTCACAGCACATAACACATCTTTTCCTTGAGACTATGTAGAAAGAAGTGTGCATTGAAAAGATATAACTGGAAAAAGTAATCACATAAATGTTACAGCACTTACTGAAACTCACAGTATGTGTCTCTTACTCTTCTCTGAAATGGATATCTTGAAATGTAATAGTATGCAGACCACACAGGGCTTGATGATGGTTTGTTTTGTTTCTTCTTTAAAATTTATTTATTCAGAAAGTAATTTCAAATGACAGAAGAAGGCTTCCTTGCAGAAGTAACATTCTGTCATTTCTAAGGGAATTAGTTGGTGGCAGTATGTGAAGATGTACGTCTGAGCAAGTGATGTGGGAAGGGAACCCAAAGGTGGTAAAAAAAAAAAAAAAAAAAAAAAGGGAGAGTGCAAATAAAGACAATAGATTAAATATAGATTTGCAGAATATGGATGAGGACTCTAACAGCAGGAAAAAAATTACTCCAAACAAAAATTGAAATTAGTGGAATGTAATATGGTGAACTGGAGGAGGCAAGAATTGAGATACATTGCAAAGTAATTTAGAGCAGATGGAAGGCAGAAAAAAATGAAGAGCAGAGATATCCAACTGTAAAAGGCTGTAAAAGTCAAGGTGACAGATGAGGGCTTAGAAAAAAGTGCAGTAGTAAACAAATTACAGAACCCAAGTCACTTCTTTGCTTGCTGAAGGGAAGGAAATGGGAGAGAAAGAATTGGAGATGACAGTGCAATTTTGATCCTGAGTCAAAGTATGCATTACTTAGAATAGAAAAGGAAGACTGTAGCAAGAGACCAGAGAAAAAAGGTATGCTCAGTACCATTTGTGATAATGGTGTGGTAGGAATGGGAGAGGATGCCGAGATCTGGATTAGAAACAACTTGAAGGAAATGTGCTGAATTATTGCTGTGTGTTTGAACAGATAGGTAAAGGTGCCAATCAGTCATTGGAAAACTTGTACTTATAAAGGACTTGTTTCCTACGAGGGGGCTAAAAGAATTGATCTAGCAGTAAATCAGTACATCTGAGCATTAGGGGTATTTCTTACTGCAATGGTATGTCTTGCCATGAAATGCATACTCAGATTGCTTTATGGATGCTATGGAATAATGATAATGATTATTCAATTTACTGCATTTTTATCCCTTAATAAATACATCTTATCTCTTGTGCATAGATATTTGATTTAATGGATGCCAAAGCCCGTGCTGACTGCATCAAAGAAATAGATCTTCTTAAGGTAAAAGATTTGGTTAAAAATGTGTGGCCATCATATAAGTATGTTGCTTTTCATAGATATACTTGAGGTATCCACTTGTAGAGTTTTTAAACCTCTCACTTAAGGGATTTTGTAATGTTTGTTGCTTTAAAAATTAACATTGAGAAGTAAATCCTATGGAAAAAATGGGTAACTCTTAATGTAGAACTTTCTGCTAAACCCCACAGTATTGTAAATAACTGTCCTGTGTACAGTAAAGTACTGATTTTAAAAGCTGTCTTTGCTCTTTCAAGTGACAGTTAAGCATGCTATTGAATAGAAACATTACAGCAAAATCCCTCTAAAATTGCAACTTCAGTCATGATGTTGACCCTAAAATGCCATCACGTTCTTGCAGAAATACTTATCTGTAAATGATTCTCATAAGCATCTATTTTTTGTACCACACTGAAACAGATTTAAGGCAGGGGGGGAGTGTTGTTTGCCTAAATGAGAAAGTTTCATTTGTCAGATAGATAAGACATGCTCTACACTAAACTGTGCATTATTATTCTGCTTTCTTAGCAACTGAATCATCCAAATGTAATTAAATATTATGCCTCATTCATTGAAGACAATGAACTGAACATAGTGTTGGAATTAGCAGATGCTGGAGATCTTTCTAGAATGATAAAGGTAGGTGTTAACTTTAAAAAAAATTAAAGCCTGTAGAGTTCAGCTTCTTTGGATTGTCATTCTGTGTGCTCAGCACTGGGTGAAACGCATTGAAAATGTCAGGCACTGTGGAGAAAAGTGGAGTGTTTAAACTGACTTTTATGTATGCCCAGTGTTGATGCGCATGTAAGTATTTTTTAACACTGTTGTCCAGAATGTAAGTAGAGATGGGGACGTAAATAGACCAAAGTTATCATTGCTGGGGAGAAGGAAAAAGAACCAACACCAAAACAAAACAAAAAACCCCCAAATGAACGACAGAAAAACCCACCCAAAAAATCCCAAAATCCTGTAAAGAAAAGCACTGTCACCGCCATTTAAATCAATGCATTTTGACTGCCTTCCTGATTTTCAGCATAATTGTGTTTTGTCTTTCAATAGTCTATTCTCTTTAATGATAGTGAAAGCAGAGGAGGGCTGGCTTCATAAGGCAGAATTTTCTTCTAGATCTTGAACTTCAACTGCTAACCACTTTAGCTAATAAAGGTTAAAATGGAAATAACTGTGTCATTTTATAGGTGTAGTTGACTATTTCTTTATCTTGAGACTAACAAATATTCTGAAAATATATTTCGTATTTGGTTGAAGTCACATGCAGTGAACTTAACCAAAATGTGGTTGTGCATTATGGGTTAATTGCTTTCTTTTGTAGTTTTTAAATGTCTATTTTTTAGTTAATTGCAAAAATTTATCCAAGCACCAGTGCAGAAACTTACTTTTAACTAGCTGGGTCATATTTGTTTGTCATCTGACAACTATTTCCTTCTTTCCTTACCCTTTTTCCACTGGGTCTTGGCTTTACTATGTCCCTTTGGTGTACTTTCTTGTGTTCACACCAACATTATTGTTGTCAGTGCAGTCTAACTCTGAGAACAAATAATGCCAGTCAATTAGCATTCACTCAGCAACTGTCAGGCACAGAATAGAGCTCTGCTGTTTTGCTTAGGACCTACGTGAATGGAGAATGTTAATTTCTTCATTAATGACTTTCATACTGATAGGGTTTTTTGAGCTTTTGAAGAATATTCCCTGCTAGATTGATAATTGCAAGGTAGGACAGTAAAAATTTGGTTCTAAACAGGTTGATAGCATTCTGTTAATATTTATATCCAAATCTGATATTTTTCTCCATCTCATGAATTATTAATTCTGTGGGCTTACATTTCATAAAACATAAAGGAAGGTTTGTCTTTTCTTTTGAATGTTCAGTTTTGACACAACAGTTATTAATATGAGTACTGTGTGACAGATTGCCTTATGGCATGTCTGGTCTTATGACCCACTGAAGCTTTTTTCTTTTTCCTCTGCAATTTTTCCCCTTTTTCCTCTGCTTTTTTTTTTTCTTCTCTGCTTCCCCCCCTTTTTTTTATTTTTATTTTTATTTTTATTTTTTTATTTTCCCCCTTTTAAATCCAGTGTATGAATAATAGCTTCTTCAGTGCAGTTGGCCTCATTGTCCAAGTCAGTGGGTATTTCTTACAGGCTGAATCTTGGAGGCACTTTGTGATTGTCCTCTTAACACAGGGATCATGTTTAATGTAGCAAACTTAGATTGCTGTTTGATGTTAATGACAGCCTATCAGGCTATTATTAAATATGTATGAGGTGTCACAATGCACTCTGTCTTCATGCTGCTGGTGGAGGAAATGATTTGGTAGACTGCTTGGATGGTATGATTTAAAATGTGGAGCGTATCAGTTATATTGCATTTTGTAAAGAAGCATTTTAAAAATTGCCTGGAAAATAAATGATATGTAGTGGTGTGGAAACTTCCTAGCAGAATGGCTGCCTGTCACACTACTAAGATAAGTAACTGTGTTGTGTTGTTAAAACAAACAAACCAACCATGCTATGGCTTATAACATTCTTGCTAGAATGGTGTTCTAAGTTTGGTGGAAGATGCTGAGTTATCCCCAGAGTGCCAGGCTTGTTGTGTGATTTGGAGAAAAGATCAAGGGTGTTCTTGAAAGTGTAAATGACCAAAGCTTGAGTGACACTGAAACCAATGTTAATGTGAGGGAAAACTACTTAACTAGTTTACTTAGGTATTTGTGATGACATTATTGGCACATCAGAGAATACTTACAAAGCTGCTGTGCCTCACAGTGCACCTTAATGAATTCTTTAGTTCTTCCCTTAATGAACCACATCCTTGCTGCCCAGCCTTTATACCATCCCTCTTGTTACCTGTGAATAATACTCTCTTTGTCCCTACTGAGTAGACAGCTGAGGAAAATCACTTGGTGCATTCATATAGATTCTAATAGAATTCATAGAATCTGTTGATTTTCAAAAAAAAAAAAAAAGGAAAAAAACCAGCTGTGCATTGGCATTTGCACACCTCTGGTTTCATTGTGAGATCTCTCATGTGTTCTCTGTGTTTATGTATGTACGTACACAGTTTTAATTCCTTTCACTTTAATTTTTAATGACCTCTGTCACAGAGAGGTATTTCTGTACAGTCTACATTTGCAGAAGTGGGGGGGATCCCAAATTGAGGGTTTCTTATCATACAGCCTTTAATGATCTGGTAGAATTCTTGGGCATAGCATGTCAGTAATACTGAAAGGGAAACATGATCAGTGAGGGGAAAATACTTGCATTTGACTTGCAGTTGGTTTTGCACTAGAATACGTATCTCAGTACTGTGTAACTGCTGTGTAGGGATGGTGAAAGAAGGAAAATTCTTGATTTTCTGTATCTGTGGCTGCTGGATACTATTGCATCGAAGATTTTACGAGTAAATGATTAGTAACTATTGTGCTAGTTCCCTAGCATGGTCTGTTGTTTGCTGGAGTCTGTGGTCTATACTATGAACATGGTGATAGTACATGGCTACTAAAGTTGAGTGTTGTTCGTGAGAAGTCCTGTTGTTACATTGTAATACCACTTCCTTTTGCAATGCAAAAATACATTGGAAGGCAGGTTTGAGGCTTGATCCCTTGTCCTGTTAGTTGTGGTTCTCCACCACCACCAAGCGAAAATTCTTCTGTAATGAACAGATGATTCAGTAAAAAGAGCTAGTTAGTGAAGTCTGTGCTGAAGATGTTGAAACAAGAGAATTAGAACTATTTTGCAGGATAATTAGCATATTATTTAAGATTATATATAAAGTTATTAGACTTTTAAGAAGGGATGTTATCAACACTAAGATGTGGTGGGGTTTTTTTTGTCTTAATCATCAATAAACTTCTAGATCTGTTTAATTTCTGCAGATGTATTTTTCTGGCAAATAATCTTAGCACACAAAAACCTACAAACTTTAAAGTGAATGTCATACAGATCTTAAAAAATAATAATGTTTTGGGAACAAGCATGAAAGCTTTAATATAAAGTCAAAAATATCTTTACAGCTCTCTCAAGATAAATGCAAAATAATTTGAATTCTACAAAATGTCACCTAGCCACTTCACCTACTCTTCAGAGAATACTTTTTGTTTGTATTAAAAAAACCCCAAAACAAACCTATAAATAGACAGGTAAAATAAGACAAATATTTTAAAACTTCTCATCAGTATGAAGTTCACATTGGTATCTCAGTGAATTCTGTGTCCTTAAACATTCTTGGTTTTTATAGGACAGTCAAAATACAGGATTAAGTAACTACTTTCCAAGCAACTGGTGCATATCTAAATTGCTTGTTGCAGTAGCTGGAGCTCTGTTTAGACTTGTTGGAAATCTCATTGATTATCATTCTCATGTTTCACCAGTGGCGGATATTTTGGGCTTCACTATGTGAAACTGCATCAGACAATTTCTCCTCTCCACATGGTCTGGGATACAGACCCTTCCTCCTCTCCCCATGCTAAAATATATTAGCAGTGATTTTTTTTGGAACTTATTTGCAGTACTCCACGGTTAACTTAATTTGCCTGTGCTGCATTAATGAACAGCCTGCCCTTTTTTAAGCATGGAAGCAATTTTAGCTTCGGTCATCGGCAGCTTTGCCAGCCCAGGGTGCTGCTCCTGCCTGTGTGAAGCAACCTTAACTCAGGATGCAGTCACATAGATCCTGCAACAAAGTGTGTTGCTGCGTGAGGTGGCTACTGGGTGAGATGGCAGCCTTTGGGGATTTGTAGACATGTTGCAATCACAGTGGATTTGGAAGGAACATAGGGCAGACTGTAATAACTACCCAGTGCCCCTATCTTAAGTGTTTAGTGGTGTCTGAGGCTGGACAGCACTGGATAGAGGGTTATTCACATCAGTCTGAACTCGGGTGGTGATAAAGTGCAAATCAGAAACTTCTGCATGAGTTGCTTTTGTGGTCCTTAGCGGTGCTGCTTGCCCCACTGTTCTTGCAGCATGGCAGAGGTGTGGGGGCACCTACTGCTACAGAAGCTGATGACTTTTTCTGTCTTCAGACTAGCTGCTCTGTAGTGCTGGGTGGCTAGTGGCTCATGATTAACCATTCTCAGTGCAGTGAAGCTGGTCATGTTGCTGAGAATAGAATCTTATTTTTTCAAACTTTCTTTATCATACAAAACACTGACTTACAGCTTTACTAGTCATAGAAGATAGGTGGCATTCATGTTTGGAAGGCTGGTGGGACAATGATGATGTCTCCAATGTAGTTAGAATAGCAGTGGTGCAGAAGCTGTAGTCTGCTATGCACACGTGTACAGCAGGACAGTAACTCTGCTTGCTGTTGGGGTTGCCAAAGATTTAGCTATGTGAGAATTCATTTGTTTGTTAAAATACAACAATTTCATACTGAAATGTTGCATGCCAACTGCCTGCTTGAGGGTGTGTGTTTCCAAAAATGTATGATTTAGTAGGCTGCTGATGAGAACTGTGGTGGTGTTCTGAGATGTTTGTTTGTTTTTTAATCTATTTATTTATTTTAAAACCTAACAACCATTGTATCTGAAATATTGTAAGCCACTTGTGCCTTGAAACAGACTTAAAACTTGAAAAGGGGATTTTTCTTACAATAATGGCTGTGAAAACTCACCTAAAAT